AAATAAAAAATTATTAAAAAAATTTAATTTTATAATCATTTTTGAAAAAAAAAAAAAAAAAAAAAAACGGCCCAGGGGTTCTGGGTGGTAAATGGTGTTACACACTTGTTACCTCAGGCTGGAAAAAGGAACATGTTACCTTTGCATTCCAAGCCGAGGCATGATCCATCCTGCCTGCCTGGATGGAGTTGAAAAGTATATGTGTGTTATCTGTACATATACCCATACAGTTTATTGTGCCAATATGGGTTTTAACTTCACTTCAAGATCATTCTGATTCAAAATGAATGATTTAGATAGTTTTCATGAACTAGATTCATTGAAAAGACTCAAAAGAAATCATTCATGTATCAGACACTGCTACTCTCATGAACAGATATTGTTCAAAAATATTGCTCCACAAAAGAATATGAAAAAGAAAAGAATATTGTCAATGTATATGACAATATATTGCACGGCTATGAGTGTGATATTGCGTTTATACAACAGTTCAACTGCACGAGTAAATACATAAGAAACAACAACGGAGTGTTTTTAAAAAGCCTCTTTTGTGAGGAACCACTTCCCTCCGCTACGGATTCAAATCTCAGTTTAACAGCTGAGCTCAAGCCTCCATTACTAATTCGAAAACGTCACTTTAGATCACTTTAGAACTAGTAACGAAGGAACATTGAGTTGCTTGATTGAAAACTTATTGTATTACTTAGGGATGCACAATATTCGATTTTTGCCGATATCCGATACTCAACAGAATCGTGTGTGATTGGTTTCGTGGCAGATTTGAATTTAGCAGCTGGTGATGTTTTAGTTTTTTCCATTACTGCCACCCACAGGACAAACTGCGCATTGAACCCAAAATAGTTTGGTGTGATAGGATTCCAAATTTGGGGGGCCAGAAGGGGGGTCAAGCTTGTTGACACGGGGGCACTGCCCCCCAACCACCCTGGCCCCCCTAGAACCGCCCCTGTCCATGGCACAAAAACAGTATTATTTATAAAATTATAGTGGATTTGGGCGTCTGCCATGACACTCGCTGCTGAGAAATACCACATACAGAGTGATACAAACAATGAAACAGTCAGAGTTGCGATATCACTAGAATATCGCTCTCCTGGAAAAGGCTCTCGGCCAATCAGATTCGAGGACCAGAAAGAACTGTTGTATAAAGACATATAATATGATAGTTTTTAAATTTTTGCATGAAAATTCCTTTAATTGTTTAATAAAACATTGCTTTTCGTCATTATCCCATTTGCAATTTAACAAAGATGTATTAAGCACTATCAATAGCGAACAAATCCTCATTGCTCTGTGAACTTGTTAGCAGATTCCTGTGAACAAGAAGCATAGGGCATCGCCCTCGGTCACGGTCTGTCTGTCAGGCCTGGTGCTAAACTGGCATTCTGCCATGTAAGACAGAGGGATGGAATCCGATGTGTCTCAGAATAGGCGTGTTAGTTAAGCTCCATTCTCTGCTATGAACACAAGGCTTGATTCTCTGGGACAGATGGAGCAGCTCGGTGCCCCGTCAAGATGCCTATGGTCATGCCAGGGGGATTGTGGTTGTAGTCTATGTCCCCTCCATGAACAAGCTGGCATCTGTGAGGATCTCTTATGATCTGATCCTCACTGGACTTTCCTGGGCCCCGGGGACGCCTGCTATCCCTCCCAGTGCCAGTTAGAGCCTTCTGACCCGCCTGTAGCCCCAGGCGAACCTCCTGTGATTAGGCCCGACGTGGCACCTGGGCCGGCTCCAGAGAGAATAATGGTGATCTGACAAGCTGATCCATCCTTTAAAGAATGGCAAGACCGGACAGACTGTGTTTGCACTGACTGCAGGCTGTGTCTTGTGCCACTTTCTGGTTGGACTTTGAAAAGGACAAATCATCTAAGAACATTCCTTTTGTTTTTACAAGTATGGCACTTTGATTTTACTTGGTTGCAAAATATCTATCTGTCTGTCTGTCTGCCTGCCTGCCAGTCAGTCAACAAAACAACTTTCATTCAGAAATTGCAAGTAAATTCACAAAGAAACAGCAAGCAACACATTGAATAAAATGTGAAACATTGAAGTAGAAACGCTGTTTTTTTTTTTTTTTTACTGATTAACATACTCCAATAATCGTTTTATTTACAACTTTGAAAGATACTTAAAAAGAATTTTTGCAGCATTCCTTTACATAATAAATAATAATAAAAGTATAATAATAATATAGATTATATATGAATGTTTTCATTAGTTAGAAGGAACACAATTATAACCCCTATTAAATACCAAAACATTTTTTATAGTCCTTATGAGACCTTATTTTAAGCCTGGTCCTACTTAATTAAATATTCATGAGAAAGAGGCAGTGGCCACATCCCAAACATTTTTTCTTATTGAATTTGTGAACTCTGAGAATATATACTGTTTATTAAAAGTTTTAAAAATGGCTAAATTTTAAATTCTAAAAATTCAAACTAATTTTTTTAGTGATGCTTAGTGTCTGAACGCAGAAGGGTGACTCAGGGACGAGTGACATCAGCTTGTTTTCTTTCATTATCCTGTTTTGTTTCTTTCTTTTTTTTTTAGAATGCTGTTAGTTTATTTACGCCACCCAGTGTCCCTCAGGAGAACAGAAATCAAGCAAAAATGATTCAAGCTGTCTTTCATAGCCCTGACCCATATTGAAAAGGCATCATTTTATACAAATGACAGGAGATGGCTTTCAAACATTTCAACAGAAAGAACAAGAAAGAAACCTTGAGATGGCACCCCAGCCATCCTTCCCCCATGCCTCTGCTCTAAACCTTCCTTTCCCATTGTTCTTTTTCAAAAGACTTAAACGAACGCGATGGACACATCATTCCTATTTTCTCTTTATTTATTTTTTTGCTATTTGTCCATCTCAAAATGAAGGCTTCCACCTCTCCAGAGCTAAAGGGATGAGAGGAGAAAATGAGAGCCATCTGTGTTGCCCCATAGTGCAGAGATGATTGCTGTGGACGAGTCTCTCTCCAGCGCCAGAGCTTCCATCTTGGCAGAAAATACCACTAGTTTCAGCTCTTAGACAAGACAAAAGACAGTTTGCATTCATATCATGCACTGTAGAAAATCAGTTTCAGTGCACACAATTCACAAAGAGGAAACACCTATGTTATCATACAAATAGAGTAATAAATGTCCTAGAGTGCTCTACAGTCATTGGACAGCACTTAGGAAGTCTGTCTGCATGATATATCCGTCTGACAGTTGGCGCAAAAGGACCTGAAAGTGAACTGCAACATTTATCGCCTGTAAGAACAGCCAGCATTTATTTAGCATTCATTTAATTTCAGTTACGAGACAGAGCTGCCTATTCATCTTGGAATCGATTTGATA